CCCAGCTCCTGCAGTCACATGTTAAAGTATCCTTGGACAAGAAAATAGAACCCCAATTGCTCACTGCTGCTGTGTCAGTGGCGTGTGAAGGTGTATGAATGGACACTTTATAAAGCAGCCTCTGCCATCAGCATGTGAATGTGGTGTTAATGGGTTATACGTGAATGCGGTACTAGCTCAAATTTTTCCATTTACCATTTAAGGAATTTAACATATCATTATTCAGTTTCCAACTCTCTTTATCCTTTTTAAAGTCTCTCCTGTCCGATCTTCCTACACAAAATGTTGAAGCCCTTTTATTCGGGATTAAAAGTCTACATCCAGAAAAGCCCGCTTTTCATACTTATGCCACAAAGCTTTGGAATCTATTTTTGTATGAATCAAGATTGTTTCATATACTTTAATTATTCCATCATAGTGCTGATGTTTTGAACTTACATTTCCATATTGTAAAGTTTAAATTAAAAAGTTTAATCTGCTGGAAGAAGTCTCATTTTAAATATTTAATGTGTCCCTGGTGTCTGTCCCAGATCTACATGCACCTGCGTTTCTACAGCTCACCCAGGGAGCAGCGCCACATCGTCAGGATTCTCTTCATTGTTCCGATCTACGCCTTTGACTCTTGGCTCAGCCTCCTCTTCTTCACCAACGACCAGTACTACGTGTACTTTGACACGGTCAGGGACTGCTACGAGGGTAAGGATGGTGCTTTTGTCTTTATTCCGCAGAGCTTTGTCCATTATTTACCTTACTCAATGATAACAATTATACTTAATATTTGTCAAGCACTTTTTAGATGATTTAAAAAAATGTTTTACATATAATAAAAACCAATAGCTGCAAAAATAAAAACCAGCAGAGGAAGAGCTTTCTCTTAAAAACTAATGTTTTAAAAACATTTTTTTAAATATCATAAGTGAGTTGTGCCGGACCGATTCATTGCATTATAGCATTTGAGGGATCAACGTAATAAATGTGTTTCTATATCTATCTCTTCAGATTGAAGATATCAGTCAATATGTGGGTATCTGATTTGTTCCCTTCCTAATGTCAATATCTATATCGGCCCCAAAATCCCATATCAGTCTAAAGTCCTGATAAGTAATTTTATGTTAGTTAGATGTGAAGAAAAAGCACTGATATTGAAGTATTGGTGGGCCTATTTCCAAGTCATCTTGGAAAACAAAACATTTACACCTTTGATAGATTGAGGTTTGTGGTTGGAATCCTTTCAGTCTGATTTAGGGCAACTTTTCCAGTTGATTTGTTGAAACACGGAGATGAACAGTCTGTCTTTCTATCATCAACAGATTATTCTACTAACACAATAAGTTTTTATTCTGCAAAGTTCTCTCTCCTGCTAATTAGATTCCTGCCTTTCTCTGATCCTGTATCTACCTGTGTACTTCTTTAAACAGTGTTCTTATGTAATGGACAGGAGGAGTGGTACTTCCTGCCCATTTTGACATTTTATTGACAAATCTCTTCAGGAATGTGGTTTGTATAAGATGTTGATTTGATTGACTCTAGCAGGAACCACTGTGGAACAGTTGAACGCTGCGTCTTTAGAGGAGGGATTTCATGGACGTTACTTGTTGTCAGATCAGAAACGTTTGGCTGAGCTGACAGCTTTACTGAGCGAATGGATGACGCAAACAAAACAAGTCTCTGATTTTCTTCCATTCTTGAAATAGCAGAAATTTGGGAATCCGATTCTGTGGAGGCTAGAAATAGTCTGCTTAGTGGTGTCACTTCCTGTGTTGCTGTATTGATGATGTCACATAAAATGAGATTAACTTTTATTGATCCCCGCAAGGGGAAATTTCAGTTTTTACACTCTGTAAGTCATGAACACACACACGCATGCACAAACAGGATCCGATGGACATGCACTAATGGAGAGATGTCAGAGTGACGGAGCGGCTCCTGAGCTGATGGTGGGGAGGGGGTTCAGTGCCTTCAGGGTTCAGGGCACCTCGGCAGTGCTCAGGAGGTGATCTGGCACCTCTCCAGCTACCAGACCAACTTCCAGATTTGATCCGCACTGGGACTTGAACCGGCGACCCTCTGGTTCCCAACCCAAGTCCCTACAGACTGAGATACTGCCTGTAAATGTAAATGTGGATAGAGGCGTTCTATGTTTGGTTCTGCTTTTGGCAAGAAATGCCGTCAGTCTGGTGTTTGTCATATTGCTTCCTCTGACAGAAGGCTCTCCTCCTCCGTTTACTTCTACTCATCCCTTGGCTTGATCTTCCCTTACTTGACTAATGTGTGTACTTCTTCCCCATGATCAAACAAATCTTCTTCACTACTCTTCAAACCTCTCCTTCCCTTCTTTTTGTCTTCTTCTCACTTCCTGTACCCACACTGCTGCTGTGAGCTGTGCTCTGATCTTTCCCTCGACGAGGTTGACCGACCTGTTGCATAGCAACTGCGCTCACAAATCTTCCTCATCCCAGAATGGCTGCGTCGGATAATGAGTTTCCCTCAACCGGACTTGCTGCAAACTTACTTTTCTCATTGTATACAGGGCTAATGTATCACCGTGGCAACAAGCAATGCTGACAGGGATCCTTGGGGAGAGGGGAAAGGGCGTAATGGTAAACAGCTGAGATGAGAGAGAGCTGCTCACAGCAGATGAAGCAGTTCTTGTCTGCTCACTCAGTCAGACAGATAAATGGTGTACATGACATATTATTACCCAAGTATAGTCTGACAGGCGTTTTGACGTATGGCGGGAGACCGCGGAAGGCAGTGACGAAGCTGCGCGAAGCTCTTTTGCGTATTTGGGAGGAGTTGAAGTTGAGTCAAAGGAGAATTTATTATCTCAGCAGCAGACAGCTGATGTAACCAGAATCTTTTCCAGCAGTGCAGCTGCTTTCAGATCAGTGTTGTGACACACACACACACACACACACACACACACACACACACACACACACACACACACACACACACACACACATACACCCTCTTGAACCCTACACGATATAGCACACACACAAGATATGCCCGACTTTCACAGTTAACTGATATACACCCATCGGGCTCACCCTAATTTACCTCACATGCACAGTCACACCAATACGCCCCCCCATGAGAGTGCATGCTAACAGGCTAACAGGATTAGCCCGGCTGTGTTTTTGATGAGCCTCTTGGTCGTCATCGTGCTCTCAGTGAAGCAGCACAGAGCAGAGATAATCCACTGGTCACAAGAGACACTCTGGTGAATATAATCACATAGGGAGGTGTGTGAGTGGTTGTTGGTGTGTGTGTGAGGAGCATTTGATCTCCTAGCCTCGTGAGGAGCAGCTTGACAGTCTTGCCGACAAAGTTAGGAGGAATCTGCGGCCTGAGCTCACACGTGTTTATTGTAAAGGGAAGGTTTATGGTCACTGGTCAGGCTTAAGCTTGAGTAAGCCAGGTCCTCAGAACGATATAAAGACAAGTGTGTGTGTGTCTGCCTTTATGTTTGATTGTCATTTTACTCGCTTTGCTGCTCTTTATGATCTTTTTCTACCATATTTGAATGATCAACATTCTAACTTTTTACACTTAAAAGTACATGTAGCTAACGTATAAGTTCATATTTAAAACTTAAACTCTGAGGAGGAATATTCAAAGAATACTCTGTGGTATTTCACCAGGTTGTGTGTGTACAGCTTAGCCATGTACAGTGGTGTAACAACAACAGGTGGGCTGTGAGCATATGCACTCTCTGAGCACAAGCAGGCCTCTTCCCCTTGAATAAAGTCCGCACCTTCTAAATCTCAGCATATTCAGACCTCTTCAGTGTCTCTTTGAGCCTTTTAATGGAGGACTTTGAACATTATTCCTCTCTGTAATAGAGCTAGAGCCGGGCAGCCAGCACTGCAGTTTACAGACTCAGAGACCACATATTGATTGCCTCAGTTAAAAGAATATACGGGATGACTTTGTGGTGCTCTGTGCGCAGACACCACGCTGAACTGCTGACACCGGACACACAGAGCCAAAGTCAATACAGTTGATGTTGAACGGTTCACAGCTGGAGGGTTGAAGTTTGCGAGTGCAATTCTGACGGACACTATGGGGGCTAGAGCTGTGGTAATCTGATGCATGATGGGATGCAGTTTTGTCATTGGAAGACCCTGGTCCTGTTTTTCCAGTATTTACTTTCTACTTAGCTCTTTGTTGATGTCCACCTACTCCTGGAATAAAAATGTCTCCCTAAAATGCATCACTATATTCACCGGTAGGTCTGGCAGAGCTGACTTGACATTGTGTAGACTCCATGTGTTCTGTTTACGAAATTCCTCCTCAGACAAGTTCTATAAACTTTTCCAACTAAAGCCATCAGGGTCCTCTGAGTCGTCTTTCTCACCTGGTTTGTTTCATGAAAGTCCTCTAACGCTAGCTGAGTTTGCTGCAGGTGAGCAGGGTTTCTCTCCCCCCCCCCCCCCCCTCTGAAAACTGCTGAGACAGAAGATCTTTTCTGACACTCGTCATCCTGAGAAAATACATTTCAAATGTTTTAACGGTGAATCATTTGGTGGAGTGTAAACTGAGTCAGGACTTTGGGATCTTGCCTGGACTCAAACCTGCTGACGTGTGTGCTCATGTGTGAAATGTTTCAGACATGTAACTTGTTCTGACTTCTTATTGATTTTCTCAAATATTTTACATCAAATATTTTACATCTGTATTAAGTTACATCTGGTTTTCAATCACAGTCACCACTGTTTTTTTTTTTTTTAGAACCTAACACATTCAGTACTTCAGCAACATGCGTTCTTGCAGAAGTCAGAACGCGTGTGACAGGAAATCATGTGAGAGTGCTTGAGGGTCTGTGGGTGTCTGAATGATTCACTGCTGGTGCTTAACAGTTAGCAGTATCTTAGCAGTTTAGGTTTTTTTTAGTTGTCATTTAAAATGGCCTGGTGCAGCTTTAAAAGATTACTTCTCCATCTATTTTCCTTAATGTATTGTTTCACAATAAAACCCCCTGAGGATTGACAACAATAATATCAGTCCTGTGCTTAGACTCCAGTCTATTCATCAGACAATGGAGAGAGACAGTTTGGCATGTAGTCAGTAGGAAAGCAGAGCTGCCACACCTTCAATTAATGATTGCTTAATTCCATTTAGCTGCATCGATGTCAGGGTCCTCGTATATTTGCACGCTGGCCTCTTTCATGACTGACTGGCACACTCAAATAGAAAACACTGTCATTTATTATTTAAAGAAGAAGCATGCTGTTTTGGATCAATGTGAGTGTTTTTGTAAAGACAAGTGGAAAATGAAACCTTAAGAAGGGATACTTATTTAAACTTAATGTATGATATTCTTTCAAGCAGGCATATTTGCCTTTTCATTTCCTATAATGTGGTTACTGTTAAATTGCCATCTGGTGACTTGTGCAAGGTTACCCTGGTCACAGAGGAAGAGTAAACTGTCTTGATGAAAATAATAACCGCAAACTTTCCTTTCTTTGTCTCTTCCCAGCATTTGTGATTTATAACTTCCTGAGTCTTTGCTATGAATACCTCGGAGGAGAGAGCGCCATCATGGCTGAGATCAGAGGAAAACCCATCGAGTAAGTGTCAGAGGATGAGACACTCACTAAAGACAATTACACTTATTGTGCTTATTTTCTTTCACTGCTGCTGCTGTAAATATCAGAGACATAAATGTTTTATTTTGTGCCCCTCAGGTCAAGCTGTATGTACGGCACCTGCTGTCTGAGGGGAAAGGCGTACTCCATTGGCTTCTTGCGGTTCTGTAAACAAGCCACACTGCAGTTCTGTGTGGTCAAACCACTCATGGCTATCATCACTGTGATCCTGCAGGCCTACGGCAAATACAAGGACGGAGACTTCAAGTGAGTTCTCCGTACAGGGAGGGAGGCTGGAGGGTTATCAAAAGTACTGTAGCTTCTTACTGGTCATAAGTTAGAAGTACAAGTTTTACAAATATATAATAATCAGCACAGAAAACATGTTTAATGATGCCAACACAGAGATACCAGGAGCTTATCATGGCATCCTCTGTTTATCATTTCAACTCGGGACGTTCTGTGATTAGAGATCAGCCGTCAGCTAACCGACAACAGTAGCAGAACAAGACATCCTGTAAATCAGCATCACTGAAATAGTTTTCCCTGACTTCTTCACTCACTCCACAGCGTTGCCGGCGGTTACCTGTACGTCACCATCGTCTACAACATCTCCGTCAGCTTGTCTCTCTACGCGCTCTTCCTCTTTTACTTCTCCACCAGGGAGCTACTCCGCCCTTTCAGCCCCATGCTCAAGTTCTTGATGGTCAAATCAGTCATCTTCCTCTCTTTCTGGCAGGGTAAGACCTTTCACTGCACCACAGACATAACTATTCAGAAATGCATCAGACGATTGTTTTTAGCTTCATTAAACGTTTTCTTTCTTTTTTTTCATCAGGCATGTTGCTCGCCATCCTGGAGAAGTGCGGGGCCATCCCTCAGATTAACTCCGTGGAGGTGTCTGTTGGCGAGGGTACGGTCGCTGCTGGTTACCAGAACTTCATCATTTGCATCGAGATGTTTTTTGCTGCGTTGGCTCTGCGCCACGCTTTCACATACAGAGTCTACATGGATAAGAGTATGGATTTACAAGGTAAGGGAAGAGAAAAACATTTACCATTAATGTTTTACTCTATTTGTACTAAAACAATGAAGGCTCTATAGACGTAGAAACCTTCATTTCTTCATTTTAATTCCATCCTTTCTCGTCAAATGTCTCCTTCTTTTCCTCACTTCTCAAAATGTTTCTTCTTTATAGTCCCCCCCTCACTTATTTTTGTCTTTTACATCATGTTTACCTCTTATCCTCTCATTACTGCTACTCTTTTTAAAATGACTTCTGGGTATTCTCCTCCTGTCCTCTTTCTGCACATCCATCTGTTTCCCTCTCTCTTTCTTGTCTGCTGCGTGATAAAGGACCTGTCCTTACATACGGAGAGTTTGGTAGGTTAATCACTGACAATGTTCACGCCATACTCTTCACATGCTGCTACTAGTTTGTTTTTGTTCTCTTTTTAAACTCTTGTTTTTGAATGTGATGTGGTTCCTCTCTATGCAGCTGTTATTTTAAAATCAGTCCTCTTCTCACTCCTGATCATAAATCTCTTCCATCCTTTTATTTTCCTTGTCTGACCAGGCTTCCTGTCTTCTATCGATGTGAATCCTTTTTCTCTTTTTGTTCCCTCTCTCTAACTCACATCTGCTGTCCTCAATTCTTTTTCATATGTCCCCTCCTTTTGTCTCCCTCTTAAACCCCCCTCTGAAACTCTGATGTATGTTCTTCTCCTCTCATTCCTCTTCCCACTCTCCTCGGACTCTATTCTTCTCATCCCTCCTCTCACCTCTATTTTCTCTTTCACTCATTCCATTGCTTACTCCTCGATCTTTCCTCTTCTAATTTGCCATAAATCCTCCTTTCCTTAATGTTTCCCCCTCTTCATTTCTTCATTCACCCCCTTCCCTTCTTCTCTTTTCTTCTCTCCCCTCTAAATTATATTGCTCGCCTCCCTTCACCTTTTATTCCCTCTCCCTAACCTCCTCCTCTACCCGTTTACAATTCCTTCAAACCCCATTAACTCCTTTTTATCGGCCCTCTCTCTCTTCTTCTCTATCTGCAGGACGCTGCGCCCCCATGAAGAGCATATCCAGCAGCCTGAAAGAAACCATGAGCCCTGGCGACATGGTCCAGGACGCCATCCACAACTTCTCTCCAGCCTACCAGCAGTACACCCAGCAGTCCACGCTGGAGCAGGGGGCGCCGCCGCCCCGTCTCCCGCACGCACGGCACTGTCGGAAGCCACGGCGACTCGGAGAAGACTTTCCTACTAAGCTCTGATGACGAATTCTAGAGCAACAACTAATAAGACTGTTGTAGCGCCAGATGGTACTTCATCCTCCTGTGCAGCCAGTCCTCTTCAGTGATTGGAGAGTTTGTTTTTTCTTTTCTTTGAGACTGAGGATGTGGACCTTCCTGCAGAGACATTTCTGCACCCATACTCCTGAAGCATCTTAGTCGGTGCTCACTCTTCAGGGTGGTTTTTATGTTGTTTTTATGCCAGAAGATAAAGTGTTGTGTCCGTTTTTGGCACGAGTATGTGTGAGTGAGCCGCACTCAGGCAGACTGAATCATACTCGACTTTTGGCCTGGAAAGATGCTTAATTTCACATTTCAGTTCCATCTCATTTCTTTTGCTCTAATGTGTCTTTCTCAGTGGCAATATGTTGTCCTCATGGACGTTTGAAGTTAGTTTGAAATGTAAAGGCTCTTTGGTTACCAGATGTTTCCTGGTTGTGTTTAACAAAAATGTTCCTGGTCATGAAAACACTTCAAAAAGTAACACTTGAATTTTCCTAAGATCCTTAAAGTTTGATTTAATTGTTGCACTTTGTATAGAGATTTTAAACCAAGATATGAATTTACAATATCCATGAATGTGCTGAAAACAGAAGACGTCGTTACTTCAGTAGGAGGCATTGCAGGAAAACAGATAGTAGTGAAATATAAAGTTATAAAACAGATGTTTATCTGATGTAAAAGGACATCCTCACTGCAGGCTGGGGATGGATTTAAAGGGAATCTCATTTTAAAAAAAAACATGGGTGAATGTCATCCCCGTGGATCAATGTTATTGATATTAATGGAGCAGACGAGAAGCAAATAGAGCCGATTATAGATCATAAAGCACATGTGCTGCAGCAGACTGGGCTGAGTCTGTTGGGATTAATCTGGAGTAATTGGGGCATTATTTCAATGGCTGGGTTTAAAGCTCGAGCTGGCCTGCTCTGGTGGTAGACTTCTGCAGACCATGATGTAGCTTAACTGGATTGAGGGAAAACAGAAGACAAATATAGGTTAAGCTAACTTTAGCTGCCTTTTCTCAGTAGAGGAGAGTTAAACCTTTCCAATGTTAGAATACCCGCATGATCAAAAAGTCAGACTGAGATTTACATTGTATGTGTGTTTAAGTAAACCTAATGTTCATAATGAATACATAAGGACGATAAAGTCCATTAAAACATGCTGAGGTTCTGCATTTGACCAGACACACCCCCCGGTTATGTTTTCTTTTTTTTCAGGTTCCAGTGGGGCTCTAGTAAATGTTTCACATTGAAGGACCTAAATCTAAACTCTAAATATGCTCTTTACATATTAACCCGTTCTGCTTTGAGCTATGGTATAAAGCTAAATATCATTCACAAACTTTATGTTAGCAGAATAATATGGGACATCATACTCTGCGTGGTGTAAAGAGAAGTTAAATCTCCTCTCAGCTAAAAATAACCTGTGCAGTGTGAACGTGCAGCTCTGTCCCTCCTGGAAGTCTTTTTCTCTGGAATCATCGTCACCGCAGACAGAGCAGCTTTTTTCTTTTCTTTTTTCATACACATAATTGAAGTTCTTGAGTCATCTGAATGAGTCATAGTGAGACTGCCAACGTGTTTACTGTAACTACTTTCACTGCTCTGCTGTAGCTCTGTGTAAACACGAGGGGGCGCAAGCAGGCAGACTGCTCAAAGCACACTGTCAGCCTGCTGCACATGTGACATGCTTGTCCAAGCAGCAGTCTGCCACTTTGTTGTCTTCTTATTGCTCGGCGTGTTTTGAACTGGTAAATACAAGCCTAGCCTCAGACAGCTCTCTTTGTCTTTTTTGATTTTCTGCTTCAGCCTGACAAATATTATTTATAAACAGGAAGGGAGCCACGTCTGTGTGTGAAACAGAGGATTATTTTTAGACACTACTGAGTGTTGTCTGGGTAATTGAGTTTCTACATTTTGACATGGTTACAAACAGGATTATTTTGATCCTGACTGAGCTTCATCCAGCAGCACATGACCCTGTATCTTATTAGAATAAAATCACTCGTTGCACTGTACCAACACATGTTCATCTTTAGCCATGAATGG